GTCCAAATCACAAATATAAAAATTTGTAAGTCTAAATCATTTAGTTTAATCCTCCTCATCAAGACTGGAGTTAATAAGCTTACAATTTTAAGAGATCTTTAATTTACAAAATTCAAATAAATTGCAAACATAATTGTTTTCAAAAGTCCAATCTTTGATGATGATCGAGTTGATGGAAGATCTCAACAAAAATAGTCAATTTTTAAAGTAACCAACCAAAATATTCAAGTTAAAATTAATCATTTAGAGACTTCAAACAAATCTCATCTGAACTTCACAATAATTCTTGAGTGACAAATATTTTATTGACTTCAGTCCACAAAGAAAGAAAGCCACATCAAGTATCATTATATTCACACTCCAAGCAATCTCACACCAGTAAGAATGTGACCAGTACTTTGTCCGCGAAGTTTGGCTCAAAAGCTTTATAAAAGTAGCAATTACGACTATAGCCTTTTGATCGGGTGGTTGTCGTCAAATGAAACTATTATATTATTTTTAAGACCGCAGCTTGTATGTTCCCCAATTACTTTCTACAATTTGAGTTGTGAATCTTTGGATATATCTGATGGACATAAAGCCTTCTATCAACTAACAACGACATAAATTGTCCTCTTAGATAAACATTCACCCTAGATCTACAAGTCCTTGAACCACACAACCCATGGTTGTTGACAAGGATCTTTCGGTCAGGTTGGGTCGACTACCTCCTCAGATTAAGTAGATCAGAGATCACAAACTCGTGACGACAAAATCATGAAATTTTGATCGGGTTTGTCATTAGTTCCATAGTTACCACATCATTCGTTATAAGCTTAAGGTGATTTTATAATCTAAAACATATATTTGTTGTTATTATATGTTGAATATTCAATGTTTAATTACTAGTCTTAATTGCATGTTTTATTCTGTCATCAGGAGAGGTAATTAACCACAAGGGCTTGTATCCATGGGAAACCTCAAACCCTTTATCAAAAGTTCTCATAAGATGACGGTAAAATCTACAAGTAGTCTTATTTAGACAATTCAATTTGCTTTATGAAATTTTGACTCGGAACAAACACCAAAAACTCTCTACGCAACAAAGAAAGTTTGAGGTGTTAAATTTTTGGAGCCTACAATAAAAAAATAGGAAATAAGAAAATAAAAAAAATAAAGAAATAGAAAATAAATAAAAAAAAGTGAAGAAAATATACTAAAATTGGAGATTCGATGCCCCCTTGTCCCGAGTCCGAGATCGAGGCATCTATGCAATCCCACGTTTCAGTAGGGTTCCACCTTGCAGCAGTTTCCACGGTACTAATGTCCGCATCATTCTCCCCTGGTAGGAGTTTCGTGTACTTTACAGGAAGCTTTTGGACTTAATTTATCCCCATCATTGTTAAGTCATTGTGTTGTTGTGGTTGCGGGAGCTTTATTACATAGTGTATCCTCACTTCCATCCAAGAAAACTTTGAAGCATGCACGTCATTCCAAAGTCTATACTAATAGATTAAATATCCATTTTTTTGGCACAACCAGAGCTGAAATTGTACATAGATGGGTATTCTCAGGAACCAAGTCTCGAGTCATTAAATATGTTATCTGCTTCTCTCACTTTTCATACCAATCTCGGCTAAGAAAATCTAATAAAAAAGTTTGTCTGGTGCACTAACTCTGAAATTAAATATATGACACGCTAGACCACTCTCAGTGACAACGACTTAGGAGATAAGCTATCAGCCATGATATTCAACAACACTTTCAACAAGGGCTGCCTCTTTTCTGGTATTAACTCATCAAACTCACCATCTTCTAAGACAATTAATGTTAATCCTATTGTGATATATCTCCTAGGCTTAGCTTGAAATCACTAATATCTCTTGTTTGCCGAAATTTGAGACTATTCTCTTAACTTTTCATCTTTTGTGTTTCTATTCATTTCAACTACTCAGCTCAGGGAAAGAAATCTCTCTTATGTTTGGGCAATCAAATACCACGTGAACAAAATTGTGACACTTAAAAAATTGACTAACAGATGGATTTGGGAGTACTGGTGGGTTCCACCATTTCTCAACTCTGGATTGGTTTCTCTTCCGGTTAGGTCAGCTTGGATGCTCTACAGGGTCTAATATGGCTGACCATTATGATGGTTGAAATCTTATTGAAGGGTGTTTTGGATTTGGTACTGTTGTGTTGCCTCTTCACCTTCTAGGCTTAGGTATGGACAACTGTAAAGTTCAATAAGGCGGCAGTTGCACCACATTGTCAATGGATGATCCGAGTCTCCTCAAATATCGAGCTATGGTGTTCTAATCAAGCTCCACTGGCTTACACTTCAACATAAATTGCTCAAACTTAGTTGTGTATTTTACTAAGAGATCTTGTTGCTATAAATGATGAAATCTCAATAGCTTGTCCTATCTATAATGAACAGATAGGTATTTGCGTTGTATCTCTTATTTCATTTAGAATCAGATAGTGATTTTATTTTTTAATTCTCATTGTTAATGAATTTTCAAGTTCTCCCAACATAAGGCAGCGTTCTTTCTAATCTTGATGGATGTTTTGGGGAATATTTTTGTACTAAAAAAATGGTTCTACCATTTGAATTCACTTTATAAATTCATTTGGATCCATGCGACTGTCAAAATCCAATAAATTCACCTTTATTTCAAGTCCTAGCTTCACTTTTGATATTCCATGATGATAGTGATTTTTCGTCACTGGAATTTGCCTGGCGGAAAGAATTTACTTTCTCATCTCGATCTGACAAGTCACTACTATAGCAATAGGTGATCTCATCGGAATGTCTTCTTTCAAAGGCTGCAAGCCTCTGTTGCATTGGGAGGATTTTTTGCTACTTATCTTCCATGATAAGTTCCTGAACACCTCGTTAAGGGTTTCTCCTTGGTGGCATGATTTCTTTTCCTCCCTATCAGGTTTTTGACTTACAAATTAATTTTGATCGAAGACATAGATATTGGTGGTAGGTGTCGGTGGAATTTTGATGAATGCAAGAAAGTTGGATTTTGAAAAATTAAAGGTTGGAGCTCGGAATCACAACATGAATTATTTGGTTATGATTTTTTTTTTTTTTTGAAATTTGGGACCAGCATAAAAAAAGACAAAAGCCTAAAAAATATCTAAGGCTTGTAAGCTATGATACTAGATGTTATCATTCTAGGGCTCCTAGAAGGTATTTTGGGAATGAATTTAGAAGGGGCTAATTATGCAATAGCAAGGGAAATGTAAAGTAAGTTTGCTGGTGTTTGGATGGGGATAGCGTTTGGAAGGAGATGAGCAACAAAACTTGCTAAGGGACAACAAATTCGAGTTGTTATGCTACTATCTGGACGGATGACGACAGTCAAAGGGAGGTCAGGCAAGGTACAAGCAGTGAGGAGGTTCCACCTCCTATTTCTAAAAAAGATACATATACACAACTTACAAAAAGAAGATACAACACCCTAGAGAGTAAAATTTATAGAAACATCTCTCAAATTCATAAATCAACAAAACTGAAATCCAAACAATCCAACACACTTATATAAAAGTTGCATAATAGTAAATATCTAATTGGAATGAAGAAATAAAAAAAAAAGAAAATAGGAAAATAAAGAAATAGAAAATAAATACAAAAGAGAAGACAATATGTTAAAATTGGAGATTCAACACCCCTCTATCTCGAGTCTAAGATCGTGGCCTGTTCACGATTCTGCATTTTAACGGGATTATGTGACATTGTATTTTTGCGGTGTTGACGTCCTCCGCATCACAATCATATGATCTGATGCAAAGTCTACAATCCTCATGTTATACATTTTGTTTTATACTTAAGACACTTAATAAATAACCTTTTAAATCTAGATGCCAAGTACCACTGGTGAAATGATGCTTTGCTGAGATTGTTGGAGCTACATGACATGCACCGTTTTATTAGTGTTGTTGCGAGACCTTAACATCGCTTTCTTCATGCTTTCTTCTCTTTTAACTTCAAAAAAAGCTTCAGGGGCTAGTTGCTGAGTATCTTTCCACAGATTCATCAAGATCTTTATTAAGATCTACTATGAACTTGTTAATCCATTTCTCAATAATTTGCTTGTATTGTTGGCTGTTCTCCAGGCACTTCCATTTAAAATTTTCTAGAATATCTAGTTGTTGTCCATTTCTCAAAAAAACTGCCAAAAGGCTCCCTTAACTATTTGCAGGGTTGCATTTTAGTCCTGGACATAAAAAGTGCCAAAATAGTTCTCCAATTATTTTAGAAGATGCTGCTGAAACTATCTGACAATTAAAACTAAAAATTGATATTTGAGAGATTAAAAATGGAGGCATTTTTGGAATTTATATTTATATTTTTAATTTTTCAGTAAATCAAATTCATTACTAACTTTATTTTAATTCCATTATAATGAAACTCATAATTTTTTATTTTTTGTAAGATAAGATGTTAAAATTTTAAATTTCTATACTGATTTATTATTTTTTTTGAAAGAATAAAATATATATTATTTAGTTGATACAAGTTATGTATAAATAGGATTGCTTGCTTTTATAAAATTTAATGGTCTAATTTTTTTTTTATAAAGAGAAAAACAGTTATACATGATGCTCATTATTGCATACTTATTATAGAAATTCACATGCAAGGTAACTTTATAATGCATGAAGATTATGTACAATGAAAAGTTATAAATCAAGTAATCCTAACAAATATCTTGTAATAACCAAAAAAATATTTTAGTATTTTGAAAAAAATAATAAAATTAATATGAAAATTTAAAATTTTAACATCTTATAAAAAATAGAAGTTTGATTACAATGGAATTAAAATAAGGTTAATAATGAATTAGATTTTACTGAAAAAAAAAAAAAGCTAAGAATACTTCACATTTTTAACACCATAAATATCACTTTTAGTTAGCTGTGGGATTGTGTTAACATCTAATAAAATGTTGAGGACCATTTTAATACTTTTCTTAAACTTTGGGAATAAAATGATCCCCTTCAAATAAGTAGATGACCATTTTGACACTTTTCTCTCAATTTCTGATTTGTTCATATAAAGTTCACTTTATCTAAGGTCATGAAGTGTCATCTTTATCTCACGTATTTTAGAAGTATTTTCTTTACTGTACTTGGTCTCTAGGTCCCTTTTGTCGTATCTTATGTTTATCTTGCAATTTTGCAGTACATGAAATTCTCTTTAGTCTCTTTTTAGTTAATTAGCCATGAGATCATCATGTTCTCAAGTTTCTAGATTTTGAATCTAAGGACATCAGTGTCTGGCGAAGTGGTATTTCTAGATTTTGAATATTAGATAATTTTTCTTTCCTTTCCTGCATACAAAATCTTGATGGATTGAGACTATTGGAAGCTGGGACTGCGGAATTTGTATCAAGTAATTTGTAGGATGTGACCTTCATTGACACCGATGTCATTGCCATAGACAATACCAGAATTGGAGGTGACTTCAAACATTGAGCTCTCCTTCATGCTGGCCACTTAGTCTAGTAGTCAAGAGCTTTATCTCTAATCACAAGATCCTGAGTTTAAGGCCCATCCCATACGGGTGTGCACATGAGTTAAGAAAAAGGTACAGTGATGGGGCCATACTAGGCCAATAAGCAGTCCAGCTTTCCGCCCTAATACAACATACAAAGTAAATGAAAATACATCAAACTACAACTAGACAATGAGTCGGCCTAAAAATACTTAGTAAATTAAACACGATTTCAATGACAAAAGATAATAGTGATTGGTTTCCTGGATTATTATTTTAGATTACGTGAGTTCCATTTGAACTAGAAATTTATATCATTTTATTTTACTTTATCATTAACAATATGAGTTGTACATCACAGAATCGTCCTCCTATATACCCACATGTTAACTTCATGTATTCCATTTGAACAAAAAATTCATATCATTTTATTTTACTTTATCATTAACAATATGAGTTGTACATCACAGAATCGTCCTCCTATATACCCACATGTTAACTTATGTTTTTCAGCTGAATAATATGCAACTTTAATATAAACAAAAGCAAAAAAATTAATCCTACATACCATCAACTACTTCAAAGCGCATGTGACCGCCTTGTAAACAATCTACAAATATAAACTAAATTTGTTGCATACCTCCAAACTTTCTGTATGATTGAAGCTTCCTCTCCTACTTTTAAGCATGTTTGCTTTTAAAAAATGATGATTCCACCTCTCCTGATTTATCCATCAAGAAGAATGACTAGAAAACTGAGCACTGAAATTAATTTAATAAACAGGATTTTACAGATTAAAATTAACAGCTTTCTTTTTACCCCACCTGACCAGTATTTGTAAGAAAAATGGATGAGTTTGCTTGGTAGAAGTTTTGCCATGAATACACAGCAGCATGTCAGTTAGTAGTCCATCTTCTAGTTTGATGATTGATAGAGCCTAGTTAGATGTAAGCTACAGCTCTAATTTTCCACCTTTGGTTCTGCAGCTTTCTTGTTCTTAGGTGCCTTGCTTGCTGGGAAGTGCAGTCTGGCATACAGAGGCTTTGGTGCTCTTGTAACTCGGTCAAATCCTCTCACACAAACAAAACCTGCAAAAACATTTTATCTTGTTATGTTACTTCTCATTCTTGTAGCAGCATACATTTTTATATACATGTAACATGCCATATACACAGACATACAAATGCATTTGTGTATATGTATATATATGTTTCAATGCTATTTCAAACAACCTTGATCAGATTTAGGCTTGGCATGATTAGAGTTCAATCCAATTCTTTAATTTGCTTGCTCATTTCATTTTTTGAGGAAATATTCACAACACTATGTAGAAAAATTTGGAATGTTTATATTAGTAAACCTTAATATAAGGAGCGATTGTTGGAAGTTTGTTGGACCTTGGTAATTATCAGCTACTCAAAGCTGAAGCTTTAATGGCTAGTAAACAAGTCACTTGCCAATTCAGATTTTGGTTCCCTTACTGTTTATGCTTGAAGTAAAATTATCAAAGAGCATGCTTAAAAATAAATGAGGTGAAAAAAGAATAAGGTCATTATGTCAAAGCTATGTTGGAGTTTGTAATGCCTTGCAGTTGAGCGTTTCCATCTCCTCAACAATTGAATAATAGAACGCGGAGGAGACAAAAGAGAGGGAGATGAAGTGAGCGTTTCAGCCTTATAAGGAGAAATGAAACCGACTTCGAAACTCTTAGAGGAAGGCAAAGACAAGATCAAGAGGGAGAGAGTGTGAGGGTTTCAAACCTTTTGATCAAGAGTAGGCAAAGGACATAAGCGACAAGCGGCTATGGTGTGAAGAAGAGGAATGGCTCTGCGTGGGATATCTGAGCCAAACTGAATTGCAGAGGGAGAAGGATTTGATAGAGCAGCCGGTGTGAAGGAGGAAAGGGGACGCCACAATATTGTGGAGGAGGAGGAGGCGTCGTCGAGCTCCTTATATTAGAGCAAGAGAAGAAGAAGTGAATGAGGGAGTTTTGTGCGGCTTTGTGACCGATCGAAGACTAACTGAGCTGTAACTCGAGGAAGAGTTGTGTGCTCGAAGGAGACAATGAGATCAGGCATGTGGTGTTGCTTAGAGGACCAACGTAACTGTTTTAAAAATACTAAATTATGAATTTCATGCATACGTTTAATTATTAATTGTTAATAGTAGATTTAATTAAATTAGAGATTAAGTGAGGTAAGTTCAAGGTAAATTTTTAATTTAGACTCATTTTAACTACATTAAAAGTAGCGCGCACACACATGCATAATGTTAAATAAAGATAACTATATAATAAATAGAAATTAAGATGTTAGGATTTAATTGGATTGGTATATATTAAATCAAATAATTGAGCATTGATATATGCATAAAATGACCATTTAACCATTTACTTAATTAATGTGAATATTTTTATAGGTATAAAATTAAGGAAGACGGAGTAGAAATAAGAGTTGAAAATATGAAAAGCAAGTTATACGATATTGATGTGAGTACTCATACTTTTATGTTATATTAATACTTTGTTGTTGCTCGATCAAATGAAGTTACTGTTACTATTATATTTATAATACTACATACACATGATATATGATTCTATTAAATTTTGTACAAATATATTGACTACTATACAAATGAGAAGGAAATGATCATTATTAGATAGTGTTTGTTATAATATGCTTGCATGTACATGCTTCGCTATGATAGAGTTCACCCCCTTATAGTACTAGCGGGCAAACACTAAGGTACCGGTGCAATTAAATGGAAATCGTATTGATATTGACGTGTATTAGTTGACACAATTTTAGATGCTTATGTATTTGTTAAAAGCTTAACTAACATGCATATTGTTTTCTTTTTCATTATGTTTCTGTATGTCAAGGAGTGTGAATATTCATTGGCTATATTTAGTTCAATGTTGTTTAAACTCAGGTTTAATTAAGTGATTTAAAAGATAAGTGATAAAGACAAAATGTTTATAAATGTGCGAAAAAATCTATAATGTGGTAAATTAAATTGTACTGCTTTAATTTACTTTCTTTGGTGGCTCTTTCATTAATTAAATTTTAGTTATAAAACATGAATATAAAAAATTTTAATTTATACCATCCGACAGACCAACTAAATTTACTTCATATTGAAATTGCGCTTCACATTGTACTGCTTTAATTTACTTTCTTTAGTGGCTCTTTCATTAATTAAATTTTAGTTATAAAAAATTTTAATTTATACCATCCGGCAGACCAACTAAATTTACTTCATATTGAAATTGCGCTTCAAAAGCTAGATTAGCCTTTTTTTTTTTTGAGAGTGAAATGCAGAAACAAATGGACCTAATTTCTTTTTTCTTCTCCATAAAACTACTAGTAGAAAGTAAAAAATTAGTTCAAATTCCACCTATTATTTGACGGATTTGTGGCTATAGTTTTTCTTTTTATCTTTTATTACTCATGTATTCCATCTTGTATCATCACTGACAGTCGGATATTATTTATTGCACTAGTACCTCCCTAAAATGAAGAAATTTAGTCTTTATTATTATTAAACACGGCTTTTCCATGTTTTTTTTTGAAATATTTCTCATTATTTTTATAAAACATTTGTTATCCGTGCTGCAATACTAATCTGGAGTTAACAACAACTATTCTGATGACTATTTTGGAAAACATAACAGTTTTATTTGGCCCCGATTTGGTACTGCTGTCATAAAAATGCTTTCTTATTTAAGGTGCTCCTATCCTTTCTTCACATTTTGATGATTCATGCCACATCTAAGAAGGAAATTAAAATAAATTTGAAACAAATTTATTGAAGCCTTATGAAAATATGTTAGCTTTTGCGTACTGTTACTTAAATGAGTGAAGACCATGTGTAGAATTCGCCAATTATAAGCTTTTAATCACACCAATAAAGCCAATACCTATGAAATCAGGATGCATTCTCAAACATTTTGATTACCTTAATAAATTTGATTTTCTATTGTAAGTGTTATAATTTCTTTTACAAGTATAAGCATTCTCAATAATGCAATTTCCTTCAAGAACACCATCCTACTAGTCATTAAGTCACCTTATTTTCCTCCTTGATACTTGAGCTGTTGTAGTCAGATGGTTTTATTTTCTCCCTCGACTCTAGTAGGGTAGTTAGGATTAGTACATGAGATTTTTTTGGCAGTGTTGAAATCAAAAGTTGTTATTTTCGTTGAAAGAAATTGGAAAATTTCCATTTTGATGAAATTTGAGATTGTTAAATTAAAAACCTGCAATTTTAGATATTTGGATTATAGATAGAATTCTTGTAACATGTAAAATTCATTGAATAGTTCAATAATTTTTTTTTGTCCTCTCGTTTCTTCTTTTTCTGACGGATGTAGATTTTTATAAATTTGAGGATAACTCCTAAAGGATGTTGTGAGACCTAAATCTCTGATGATTTCTATCATTATTCTATTATATTAAACTTATCTTTGTGTATGTTTAAAATTTTGATTACATTGAAAAATTAATTTAAAAAAATGGTTGGAAAATAAAGTCAAATGAGCATTGACATACATGAAGTTAAAGATTAACTTGCCTTTAGAAACTACTGGTGATACCAGAGTTAATCCAAACACCAATAAGAAAAATAAATATTACTATTGAAATCAAATGAGAACATATTACTAGCATCTGAAATAGGAAATAACAACACACGACACATAACACATGACTAGGGTGAATTGAAGTGTGGTGGTGATGGTTGTTGGGAGTTCGGAAAGGAGGCAACAAGGTGGGGAGATTGATCAAGTGGGTGGAGGTGGTAACAAAACAATAGGACCTTGTTGTTCTGGGCAGCAGCAAGGAGGTTGGGGCCTGGACAACAAGTAAAACAATGAATAGAAGTGGTTCTAGGAGGCAGCAGCCCCATGAAAAGGCTGGAACTATGAGGAAAACAACCACAAGGAGTGGGGGAAGTGGTAGGGAAGGCGATAGGCTACTGAAAACAACAAGGTATAGGACAGGCGCAGCTATGACAGGCAGGACAACAAGGAACTGTAGGAAGAATAACAAAAGGGTTGTTGTCAAAGTGGACGATGATGAGGAAGAAAGTGTAGCAGTGAAGCAAGAGGGGTGTGGAGGAGTTGGAGAAGTGTAAATCACTACCTTACGAGCAAGATACAATTAAAGGATCACACTACCCTCAGATACAACCCTAGATGTGAAATGAAGACGTCAACGACAGTCTCAAACAACACTACAAAAAAAATTAATTCTAAAAAATCAGTAAAATAAATATATAGTAGGATAACTAGGTAATCCAATAGGACCGGCCAAATCCATAACCACAAAAATAACTGGAATGGTTTAGTCCAATTATGATGCAGGATCACACTTCTATCGCTTGAACTCCCCACAAGAGATATCCCGTGTCAGTTTTTCGGGATTGGGGAAGCTGTGACCTCATTCGTTGAAGCTTTTGTCTGCACATTGATAGGGGCAGAGCTACTGTAATATCTCGGAATTTAAGAGTCTTTAACTATGTCGATATAAGCACCTGAGTCCCACTGTCGATTGTACCATCTCCCAAAACACCTAAGAAATCTTCTCCATTTGCGAGTAGCCATTTATATTGGTTCAACCATCTTGGGATGCACTGTTAAATTGAAATGGAACTTCATGCCAAGTATCCTCTGCAGGGCCCTCAATGGTAGTTGAAGGTCGGCTCATCCCTATCTATCGTGTGGACACACTGAACTCCCTCTAATGGTGGCGGCCATGGCGTTAAGGTGTTGATCATGATGTCTTGAGATGCTCTCTGTAGTGACAGCTTCGTGTTTGGAATTTGCGCTTCTATCCCGCTCTCGTCTATCATCACTAAAATTGATCCTACTGGCTCTTCTCCGCTGACAAGGGCACCTATAACCTCAGACTCCGCAAAAGGTTAGAGAACGATGCATTTTCTATTCTTGATGAATGAGTAGGTGTTCTTATACTCATCAAATTGAGTCATATGGTCAAAATTCCACGATCTCTCTAACAGGATGTGGCGAGCATGCAGGGGCATTATGGAGACCACACTTGATCTTGCAATCAGTTCTCAATAAAAAATT